TTACTGAGTATTTACCACGTGCTGCACGTTACGCTAAACACTTCGGTTTTGTTTTATTAACCCCATTTAATCCTCACAAGAACATTAAAATGTAAATATTATTCACTTTATTTTACAGATATTATAAATGAGGCTTAGAAAGATGAAATTTCCCAAGGTCATGCAGGCAGTGCGTGACTGCAGACTTGGGGGTCTCCATCCTTTGATGAACTGCCATCACCCAGATGGTCTTGGGTGACCCGGAAGACCAGAATGTCTATCTGGTATCCGTGTTCTCCTTCCCTTGATGAAGACACTGAAGCCCAGAGAGGTTAAAAAGCCGGTCAGCCTTAGGTCATCCAGCTGTGCCAGATCCCTTGACTTTCAGATCCCCTTTTTAAAAATGTTCACTTTTCCTCTGCTGTGCACAGAACAATTTAAGAATGTTTGAAAAAAGGAAAACATGGAATGCAAAAAAGCATTACCTTAATAGTTCACAAATTTAGTGATGTTACAGAACAGCAAGACTTGTCCATTGCAAAGCAGGCTGTTCTGAAAAACTCTTTCCGTTGGAAACTCCTGCTAAACAGAACGTCCTCATGTATCACGTGGCTTCTCTGCAGCAGAGCGATGATAGGTCGGTGATTCTGGAAAAAGAAGCAGAGTGACTGCATGTTCGTTAGAGCTCTCCGGCCTGCCTCTCTGCCCCTCATAAGTCCTGGGACCTGGCGCCGCACACTCAGCCTCTGGCATCAGGGTCCATCTGGCATCAGGCAGGAGGAAGGGGGCTGTGGAGCCCTGCATTCTAAGACTCAGCATCCAAGCAGGCTTTATGCTGGTCAGGCTGTGACCTGTGTTCCATGTCTGATAACTGAGGGGTCGATCTCCTTCCCCAAACCCCAGGCTTCCATTCTGGTGTCTGGATCCCGTCTTGCTTCTCCTACCTGAATTCTGGCTTAAGTAACCTGCCAGTTGGCCCAGTATTCTCAACTGTGACTTCATGAGTTGATGCAAACTCTAGTTCCCCTGGGCTGGATCTGAACCCTGGACCAGGGGGTGCATGCCCTGTGACCCATAGACAGAGTCCTCTGGGCAGCCGCCTTGGTGGACATGTGTTTTATCTGCTGCGAATAATCTCTGTGTTCAACCACTTTGTCAGGATACCCTCGGCCCAGGGCTACACCTGTGATGCAGCCATTTAGCCTGATTACTGCCTCGTTATTTTCTTCCAGGCCAGACTTGTTCCCGGTACTGAGAACTTCTCTCTGTCTGTTTTCCCTGCCCACACCTAACCTAGTTAGTATGCCTAGCCTTGCCTGGCAAAAGGCCTCAACCACCTTTCTTTCAAATGAAATCTAGTTCTCATCTCAAATATGAGACTCTAAACTGAAGCATCGACTAGAAAGGGCAGAAAAGGAGCAGGTCATGGCTAGGGGGCAGCAAAGAGAAGGAGTGAGGAAGGGCGGCCCAGGCAACCAGGCCCTGGCCTGGCAGGGTGCAACTCTGACTTTGAGGGGCTGAGTTCCAGGAAGAGCAAAGTTGAAACTCACCAGCTTGAATAGCAGGGTCCCTCTGATCTGATCTGACTCCTGCAGTCTCTCCAGACACTGTGGCCACACTGCCAAATGCACACCATGAGACAGCCATGAAAAGTTGTTTGGAGTTCCCCAGGCCTACCAGGCTCTCTCTGTGTCTTCTGAGCCTCAGCTCGTGTGTCCCAACTCTTTCTCAGAGTTTGATTCCCATCCTTTATCCTCTTCCCAAACTCAAGTGGGGAACTGACTACTGTCACCTCTGTACCTCCGGATCCTGGCAGTCGTATGTGCCCAGGAAATGCTGAATGAACGCTTTAATTCAACCGAATGAGTGCTTGAATCAATTCAGCTGCCATGCCTCTAAAATCCTAAACACAAAGCCCCAACCTGCCTTCTGAAAAATGCTCATCCAATTGATAAAACACTGGCCTGTGAATCAGTAAACAGGATTTTTGTTTTTGGTTTTTGTCTCATCCAGTTGGGAGCAGAGAACCAAAAAGAAACCTTTGCTGAGCCTTGGCTGTGGACACTCTCTGCTGGGAGCAGGCAACACAGAGAGGAGCCAGACAGGGCCACGGTCTGAGATGAATAGCCCTTCCTTCCTCTCGTTTCAGTACAGTTTTGATAATAAAGTTCTACTGCATACTTAATTGGATTCTTTCTTGCTGTGATTTAAGCAGTTCTCCTCTTCTTCGCTGAGTAGAATTATACCTCATTATCTCTGAAGCTTGCAGGGCAGCTTTTCCTAACAGGGCCTGGAGCGGACTCTCAGGGTTGTGTTGCCTTCTCACCTTTGTCTTCCTGGATTTTCAGTTTGTGCTTTAATGAGTGAGTACATCCTATTCTCCTGTGCTGTTTGAGAAAACAATTTACATCTTTACATATATTGTCAAAAAGTAATGGGTTCTTTTTTTTTCCTAAACTCTAATCCTTCCCTCCTTTCTCCTCTCGAATACTGAATCTCCGATCCTTTGAAGTCCAACATAATTTTTTGTATTAATTCCTTTCTAAGCTCTTTTCAAGCAACTGCACTTGCCATGCGACTTCATTAAGCCTCATAGTCTCCTCACACTGATTCTGAGAAAAAGCAAAGTAACTCTCGCTGTATATTAAAATATTTTCTATAAGAGTGGTATCTTCTGTCCCCATTGCTGGCCTTGAGAAAGAACACAGAAGTCTGTGGCAACTAAGGAGAAGGCAAGCGCTGGGCTCCTCTTCTCATTTGCGGGAAACATCTGCTGATTATAATTCACAGGGCTCCCATTGCAGGGTTTGCAGTCCTGAGTGGTTTCAGCCTTAAATCATCCCATGTTGGCAAATAATACCGAGGGCCAGGCCAGGAAAGAAACAGCTGAAGCCTATGTACGGAATGAGATTAAGTAAAAGCACGAGCGTGCCAGTATTCCCATTGCCAATATTTCCTTTTCTAATGTGGTCACCTTGGAGGCCAGTATGTTATTTTAATGATGATGATGTTGAAAACCATTCTGTTCTGGAACTTTTCCTTTAGAATTAGCATCTGGATCAGGACCCATCTTGATTTTTTTAAGGATAAAGTAAATTTTAAGAAGTAGTGGCTTGTGTTAGGTGAATCATCAGGTTGGGGTATTCTAGAGGGAAACTTTGAAATGGTCACATTATACGTGTTTAAATACTGAGACAAAGACCTGGGCCCTCATTATGACTCTGCCATTTGTTTGATTTGGAATGTTAGAAGTTTTACCTAAGCGCTTTAAGCCCTACTTTCTTTTCTGTAAAATGGGAATCATACTTGTGAAACTTTTTGACAATTGAGAGAATAAGCAGAGTCATCCCTGTCACTTGTAAACCTTTTATGTGTTTTGTATGTCACTTTGTTCTGAGCACCATCAGCATGGAATCCTGGAGTTGGAATGCTAGCACTCCAAGAGATAATCCAGTCAAGCAGTCCCATAATGCAGATGAAGAAACTGAGAGCCACGGCTGTAGAGGAAGTACCTAGACCGCCAGGGTGACTACTTTGAAAGAAAATGCTTATCTGACATTTATATTTAGGGCTCCTTTTAAAAAAACAACCAAAACACCCTCCTTTTGCTGAAGTCAGGCTAGTACACTGCCAACTTAAATGGAGTTTTTAATAAATGGGACAGCAGTCCTCTTGGGGTTATAGATCAGAATCACACTGTTTGTTCTGTTCAGCCCAGAGGAGGAGTGGAAATGTCCAGAGTAGCTGGCAGGATCTGTAAACCTTTTTCTAGACCTTCTGTATCCTATGGAGCTCCTTAGTAAACAAAGGGTGTGGTTGTCCTTTCATCTGCTTCTGGGCTCCTTCAGCCTTTCAGACAGGTAAGCAAAGAGGCCATGCCTGAGGCACAAGCTGTGCACGAGAACCAAAAGGGGCCTGCGGGAGGCTCCGGGGCAGGAAGGAAGAGTGGAAGTGACGTAAGATGAGGAGGGAGGAAAAGATAGGAGAGTATGAGACAAGGAGGAAGTTTCATTCTTGCAGGGAAGAGGAGAGCACCATGATCTCTCCTGGCCTGTCTACCTGGGAACATTTGCACGCCACCCATGAGACTGTTTCTTGCCAACGGGAAAACCCTCACAAGCAGGATCCCCTTGTAGCTGCTCAGTACAGTACTTTCATAGTTCCTGCTGTTAGAAAGGTCTCACTTATTTGTTTCTATGTCATCTTTGAAATCACTTGTTTCATTATCAGATTAAAAAAAAAACTCAGTGTTTATGCTGGAAAACTCACTCATTTTGCACATTCTATTTTCAAGTGTGTGTGTGTTTTAATATAGGGCATAAAGATTTCAAAAGGGTAGGCCAATTATTTGTTGACTAAATTATAGGAAGAAAGTGCAATTATCCAATAGAATCCAGAAATGAATATAGCTAATTTTATACCTGCAGGTAGCTAACCCAGCCATAGTAATAGTAATCACTTTGTTTTGCTTTTTTTTTGTTTTGTTTTTTTAATTCCGGGGGAAATAGGTTAGGTGGGACCTGAATACATCATTATAAAGTATGCACATATAAATTGAACTTTTCTAAATCTAGGTCGCTTGGGTAAGAAGGCTCGTTTGATGAAACCACGCTGACAATTAGATTCCCAGGGCACTTCAATGTGAAATGATATTCTTCCCGTATTCTGGGTCATAAGGCAGTATAAACAATACACCAACGTTAAGAAACAGAAAATTGCATTTGCAGTAATAGCGAAGCTTCATGGTGCATGGTTTTTACACTTTAGTATGCTGTGTTCTTTCTGCCATGTTACTATTTTAACTAATATAATTTCCTCTTCGTGTAGTTTTAGGTTCATCTTCTCCTTCTTTTCTCCTTACCCTTCTGGTACAGCTTTCTATAATACCGCATCTTATGCCAGGAGATATCCCTGAAAAATAGAAAGCATAAAAATCAAACCATCTTCACAGGAAAATGGCAAAAACAACAACCAAAATGGATTTAATCTCTAGTCAAAATGTTATCTTGTGTGCTTTACAGACTCCATCTGTGTCCCAGGCTTTGACCCAAGCCTCAACATGATGACTGGAATCGCCCCCATTAACCCGATGATACCAGGCCTTGGACTGGTACCTCCCCCGCCGCCAACAGAAGTGGCGGTTGTCAAGGAAATCATCCACTGCAAGAGCTGTACTCTTTTTCCTCAAAATCCGAGTAAGTAACACCTGTGAGAAATGTTTGCTCATCATTTAAAATTTTTTTCTTTTTAAACTTAAGAATGGCATTGCAATCATTTTCAGATGCTTCTCACACATAAATGTGCAGAATGGGCCGGGCGCGGTGGCTCAAGCCTGTAATCCCAGCACTTTGGGAGGCCAAGGCGGGTGGATCACGAGGTCAAGAGATCGAGACCATCCTGGTCAACATGGTGAAACCCTGCCTCTACTAAAAATACAAAAAAAAATTAGCTGGGCACGGTGGCACGTGCCTGTAATCCCAGCTACTCAGGAGGCTGAGGCAGGAGAATTGCCTGAACCCAGGAGGTGGAGGTTGCGGTGAGCCGAGATTGCACCATTGCACTCCAGCCTGGGTAACAACAGCGAAACTCCGTCTCAAAAAAAAAAAAAAATAAATGCACAGAATGGGGATCCATTCTACAGAAGGTCTTTGTCTCTTGATTAGAATACATCTACAGGGATGTGGCCACGTGTCTGTCCAGAAGCTGAGTGCACACTATAAAGCCAGTACGTGGGATTTGGGGGTGTGTATCCGGTATTAAGACGTTTTGCATGCAGTGAAGGCTAGTGTTTGCTAGAGAACACAGTGTGAAATATGTGAACACTTCCATCCGTCTTCACAAATGTGGGAGAGAAACTGAAATGTGTTTTGCTAGATGGAAAACTGAATTAATTTGACAGTTAGCAATTTAGGGGCTGGGGAGAGGGAAGCCTGCATCTCTGAGTTTCTGGACCAAATTGCATTTGCTTGAAGGAAACATACATTTGATGAAGTAAATGGGCCAGAATTTTATTTTTTAATTTTGCCTCAAATACTAAGTTTATGGGCTTGAAAACCTAGAACTTTTTTTTTTTTCACGTTAATCAGTGTTGCCTTTTTTAAGTGGACTTTTCAGGAGATTGCTTTAGTAATCTACATATAAAATAGGTAAAATGTTGTAAGAGTGTACATTTTATCTTTCTATACAGCCTCCCCAAAATTTAATAGTTTGCTCATTTAAATGTGAATAATAACAAAGCATTTTTTTTCAGGCCCGGTGTTTCACAGCCAGGTAGGTATTGTGCGTGCTTTTCTAGGTTATGCTTGCTGTATTCTGCTTTGCTGCTCCTTTATCTGGAAATGAGACAAAGCAGATAACACGCTGAGGTTTTTCATCATGTTGTCATTTCATCATGTTTTGTACTTTGGGAAGTTTTTTCCCTCCCTTTTCTGGGCTTTTGTAGTATAAATGAAATCATGCAGACATTTGCTTCATCTTTGTTCATGGACAAGCATACAGCCACTCTGTGTAGCAGTGAACGCAGAAAGTAAGGGTTGGGAGCAGGAGGGGAGAGGGACGTAGAAACAAGACCGCCGGGGATGAATATAAGTTGGTGTAGAAATTTACCGTCAGTCAGTCTGGAGAAAGTGACTCTGCAAGCTTTAGTGTTGCCGGGAGAACCAGAAAGAGCGAGCAAATAAATGAAAGACAAAACTCTGTTTTGTTGTGATTATTAGATCTTCCACCTCCTTCCACAAGAGAACGACCTCCTGGGTGTAAGACTGTATTTGTCGGAGGATTACCGGAAAATGCTACTGAAGAAATTATTCAAGAAGTCTTTGAACAGTGCGGTGATATTACAGCAATTCGGAAGAGCAAGAAGAATTTTTGTCACATTCGCTTTGCAGAGGAATTCATGGTTGATAAAGCCATTTACCTTTCTGGTACTTTGCATTACATAAGGAGTTTTCTAGGCATTTTGTTATGTTTTGTGATGTTAATATGAGCTTATTCCCTTTGGCCTTAATGCAAAATTAAATCCTCATAGTCTGGGGCTGAAAAGGAAGAATCCTACCTTCTTGGCTGCCAGAAGCTCTGTGCTAAGTCTGTGAAGGTACCTCAGTGCAAGAGCAATTTCCCACCATCCAGCCTTTAGGAATTCCATCGAGTTTCTAATTAATGTTCTCAAGTGCTTATTAGATGAAAAGCAATATTATGAGTACTAAGGATCATTATTATTGTTGGATGTAATCCTCTGGGAGAGTAAAGTACTCTCTCAGAATAATTTCAGGTTTTTGGAAATGGATTCACTTTCTAGACACCAGGGTACCAAAGCAAGGTCAGTTCATTGCAGGAAAGTAGCTCGGGGGCCCTAGGAGAAAGCCCAGTGTTGTTGCCTCTTTGGTGGTTCATTAAGCCTTGTCCTTTGGTGCCAATTTTGATAGGTGATTTTTGCAGATACTGAAATTAAGCCTCGTGCTGCCTTCCCCATTTGTGGGTGCTGGGCCAAGTGAATGGAGTCTGTCCACAAGGCCTTTCCAAATCTGAGAATTAGGGGGCGGCTTTGGAAGAACATATTCTCAGACTGAACTAGCTGCCCTTCCCTTACACTCCCTACCTCCATATTTCAGTCTGTCCCTCTGCATTTCACCTCCCTATTCCTGAGGCAAAGCTAATGGGTAAAGGGAAAACAATAGTGGGGAACCTATCTGAACATTCCTGCCAGGTTTCACTTAATTTCTGCAGTCTGCCTCTATTGCAATGAAATTCTGTGCAAACCCCAGAAAGCTTGAGGGTATAGTACTGCAGAGACTTTCCTGAGATAGACAGTGATATGGAGAACTTTAAAACTCCTTATTTCCACATAGAAAATAAAAACTAAAAGCATTTCAAAATGGAGAAGGAAGACAAAGCATAGGATGAAGACATTTTATGACACACAATCCGCGGGTAGACAACGGGGGGGTTCTGTGACTTTGTGGTGCTGGGTTTCAGGGCCTAGAGTTTCCATTTTCTCATCTGCAAAATGAAGATAGTAACAGTATGACCTTGTAGGATTGTGAAGAGAAATGAATCAAATAATAGATACTAAGTACTTAGCAGGGCACCTGCAACATAGAGATCATTTAGGAAATGGTTGTCTTAACACAGATATCCTGATCGTGATAACGAAGGACTGATTTTTCTGTCTCAAGAGCCTGTCTTGGGGACCTGGGTTCTAATCATCACTGTACCAATAAAACTGCAGTCTTCCCTCAGTACATTCAGGGGATTGTCCAGGGCCCCTGCCCCTGCCCGTGTATATCCTACAGGACCCTCATGTATATGAAAAGTCAGCCCTCCATGTATGTGGGTTTCACATCCCTCAAATACTGTATTTTTGATGCACGTTTGGTTGGAAAAAATCCTCCTACAAGCGGACCTGCACAGATTAAGCCCATGCTGTTCATTTTCAACGGTATTCTTTACCCCACTTGATTAAATGAGAAGGTTAGAGTAAATCAAAGGTTCTTTTCGACACTAATACAACACAATGTTCAGACCCAATCAGAAGCCTCATAAGACACTGACAAAGACGCACAGTCCCAAACTGATGCATCTGAAAAGTACTCCTTGATGATCCCTTGATCTTACGATTTTCTAGCCTGGGCGCTGGTCCCACTTCTTTCAGCAAACCCCAGATTGCTGCTTGTTCTGCCCCATTACTGTGGGAGAAGAAGAGAGCTAGGCCTCCAGCCTCCCTGCCTGGGTACAGAGGAGCCTCCTAACTCTGCCTCCCTGCCCTTGAGAGGCTGTAGCATCAGTCCCAGGAAGACCTGCAAGGCCAGATAACTGGAAAGGCAGGAAGGAAGTCGGGCGGCCCCGCCTGCGTGCGGGCTCCGGCAAGCCCAAGCCCAGCTGGAAGGCCTGTCTAATTTTAGGACCACATTCACATTTGAAGGCCTAGCTAATTTTAGACTCAGCCTCATCAGGGTCTCTTTTAAGTCCTTAATGATGACATTTCTGTGAAAGTTAGGGTGTTTCTGGAGCCAGAAATGTTTGAAAACCGATTTTCTGGACCCGAGCAGGGGAAGGGTACTTGGCCAGTTGGGATAGCTGGCCAGTTTAAACAGTCCTGCTTGCTCAGCTGTTATGCAATTCTCACTGTGGCCTGCTGACTTACTAAGTTTCCCTGGCCCGCAACCAAGATACACTTTGCTTTCGCGTTAATTCTGTGCATCTGAGATTGGATGTTTTTTGTTTTTGATTGGTATTGTTATGGCATCACAGAAATCAGATGTGAGGTCTATATCTTATTTGTAACTTTTCAAAGGTGTGAAGTGGCCTCCTGGGGAGAAGCCAGCCTCTACAGAGATTTTCAGCTGAGTTTTATCCCAAAAATGCTAAAGTAATCCATTGATATATTGAACATCAGCACAGTGTAGTCTAGCATATTACAGTTGTATCTCATTTGCAAAACCCCTACCCTGGAAAAGTGCTTATGTTGCTCTCTCCTCTGACAGCCTCCAGCAGCTGTGTTCCTGCTGGGACCTGGATTTATGTTCTGAAAATCTGAGTACCCCAAATTGAAGAGCAACCTCAAAGTCAGCTATTCTTCATTTGAAGTTAGGCCGGCTGGCTGGTTTCAGTTCTGTTAGTGTTGATTTCTCAGATCAAGTTTCTGCTCATAATCTTTATATAAGTTGGGTAGCTCACAGTGAATCCCCCAATGATTTCCAGGCCCATTTTTTTTCTTTATCTAGCTCCAGGCTTTTGCACAGGCTCCTGTGGCCTTAAAAGATTACATGAACAATTTGTGAGGTACTGCATACCAGATGAGGTGCTGCAGGGCTGTGAGGAAGGCAGTGGTGAGGCCTCTTGATTGAAGGTAAAATATTCTCCTGCGTGCCTCAGAGGATAAGTGGAAATAAAACAGCATTGCAGAATCGCCTTGGTCATTGTGGCTTTTGCAGCTGCTGAGAGAGAATTGAGCAGCAGCATTTTCTAGGGGAATGTAGCAATAGCCCATGAGTGAGGTGTTCTGGAGTTCACTCTGTAGATCTTTTTAAATATCATAGATACTCTGTATTTACTCATATTTCACCTATACAAGAGAAGTATAGTAAACTGAAAATATAGTAAAATCAAGGCCATAAAAAGGTAGAGAAAAAAAATGCTTCATGCCAAATTTGTTTCTGAGCTTCGTAGAAGCCAGGGAGAAGAAGGAATGACCATGATAAGCCCCTAGTTCTTAAGATTATCTTCTCTTGGGGATATTGGTTTGGAAGATGGATAACATCCCTCTGAGACAACTCTCCAAGGTATGTTTATCCCCAAACCTGTCATAGCCCTAACTTTGCAGAGCTTCAGGATTGCTGGGGAAAAGCATAGTTGTTTCCCATCTCCTATGGGAATTGTGCCCGTAGTGACGTCAGAGACATAAGTGAGCATGTGCCTACGCGTGCCTTGGAGGTCTGGACCAAAAACGTGTGGCCACTGTGACATTATGGTGTGACCAGATTTTCCACTGGTTTCAGGTTACAGGATGCGATTGGGGTCTAGCACCGACAAAAAGGATTCAGGCCGCCTTCATGTGGACTTTGCCCAGGCCAGAGATGACTTCTATGAGTGGGAATGCAAGCAGAGGATGCGCGCCCGGGAGGAGCGGCACCGGCGCAAGCTGGAGGAGGACCGGCTCCGGCCCCCGTCCCCGCCCGCCATAATGCACTACTCGGAGCACGAAGCCGCTCTGCTGGCCGAAAAGCTGAAAGGTATGGGCCACCTACGCTGGCTCTTTTTCCTCCACAGGGATCCCCAGACATGCACTGTGCATTTTTTCCTGCCTCTTCACCATTGGCCCTTCCGTACAATGTCTGCTATGCCTTAGAAAGGCTTTAAGAGGCTAGTGTAAGCACAGACTCTTTACAGAGCTGGGTGGGGGTAGCTGGGAGTCCCCTGGAAGCTGAAGACACCTGGGTTCCATCTTCCTGCCTGGAACAGAACCCTGCCCCTTTCCAGCATGCTTACCCATTTTCTCCATGAAACTGGGTAAGTGACTATATACAGTCACTTGACAGATCTCACCGAATGAGGGGGCAGAAAAGTCCCCAAAGCAGGCTATTATCTTCTGACCCAATGTTGTGCATGTTTACCAGACTCTTAAAGCCTTCTTAAGGCAAAACAGCAGACATGGTGCTAGGGTCCAGGGAGGACAGAAAAGAAACATAGACTGGGATTCCGGTCTTCAGAGATGCCGTTGAAGGGACATCCTGTAAGAGGAGGACATCCTCTTACAGGATGATTAGCAAAAGAGTATGTTTTAGTTCCTCTAATGTTTTCTGAGGCCCTCCATGGTGTTTTATGCTGAGGGAAATAAAGACATAGGAAGACTTTATAGCACCTGCCTCTGCGAGCTACAGTGATGCCAGATTTGGAAGTTAGGATGACATGTGAATTCAGTTCTGTTATTGACCAAAGTTATGTGAGCTGAGCAACATATGGGCATTTTACAGGCAAATGATGGTCAGGCCCTCCTCAGGTCATTGAGCACTGTCAGGATTTGATGAGAGAACATAAGTCAGAGCTGCTGGCCACAGGTAGGTGTCTACAGATAAACAATTAACTAATACCATGCCAATGGCATGACTGTCAACCAAGGTATATGCAACATGCTTTGGGGACTCAGGGGTCAGTACAAATAATGTTGATGGAAGGGTCAAGAAAGTCTTTATGGAGGAGGCATAATTTGAAATTTGCAGAATAAATAAGATTCCCCCCCCCAGGAGAAAAAAAAACGCATAAGAGCAATTCTAGTTAGAGGCTGGAGACTTGGGAATAAAAACCCACAGAAGCAGAGGGAATTCAGCATAGACGCTGCCTTTCTGGAGCGAGGTAAAGCTGGAATGGCGATCTGGGCCAGATGGCAGACCCCTGAAGGCTATTGCTGGATTTGGCTTTTATTCCATAAGCAGTGGAGAAGCCATAACAGTTTTCTGATGAGAGGAGGGATGTGATTGATGCTTCAAGTGTTTTAGAACATAGAATGTATTGCTGCCAGTGTATAAAGTGGATTGGACATTTTTCACTTAAAAAAAAAGTACGAAAAGCTGCCTAACACCTATTTTAGGAAGATAGGAAGTTGACATTCTATGCTAAAAAAAAAAAAGGTGGGGGCGGGGGCGCTGTGCTTCCAATCTTCATCCCCGATCCAGGACTTGAGAATCCTTAATCAACTGCAGTTGGCACTGAAATGCCCGCACCGTAACCAAGGAATGCTTCCTGCTAACGCTCTTGTGGTATGTTCTGCTGCTTTGAGAAGTCATGTCCTCCTGATGTCAGTACGCTGGCCCTGGCTGTCCCTTTAATAAACAGCGTATGCAGTGCTGATACAGACGTCATCGCACTTTTCCATCCAGCCTGGAAACCATAAGGAGTGGCCAAAATGAGACTCATCAAGGTTCTCAACAAGGAATATTCACTGGAACAATAATCATTCTTTAACATCTAGTATGTTGTGTGGTATCAGATGATGATCTACACAGACTAAACTGGATTCAGTTTGTCCATCCCTAGAAGTGACAAAAACTAGCACCTTGATCTGTGACCCCATGGAGGATTGCATTAAAGTGTATCATCTGGTCATGTTGTTTTTAAGAATCCAGGACAGAAGTATCTCCACACGCATGAAGTACGTGGCATTTGCCTCTCCCTTTAGAGGATAACAGATTGGGATGTCAATTTGGTAAAGTGATTTGCAAGCCTTGCCATTTCAAAAATATATATTCATATAGATGAGTATAATTTGCAGAATTCAGAAGCTGTATCTTTGCCAAGTACTGTGTGATCCCTTGAGGAAAGAACAGATTGGCCATTTTAATAGATGGCTGTTACAGTAGAATGAACTAGCTGGGGATGTGTCTTAGGCAAGAGGCAGGTAATATGAAGCTTGACAATTTCAACCCAAGCATAGAGTTTGGAATATAAACAGCATTTAATTGCTTAGGAAATTGGCTGCCTCAGAGAGGAAACCCACTCCATGCTCCTTATAATGTTGCAAAGCGAGACAGGAGGAGCTGAGGACACTGTTTCCCTGAAGATGATTTCATTGATGTGGGACATAAAATATAGTCAAGACCTAAGGTAAAGAAATCTGTGTCAGAAAGGAAATGGAAATGCAGTCTGAAAGTACCTAATTGGATTTGGTTTTCTTTCCTCCCCCGAGAAATCTTACTATCTTGGATTTATTACAGATACTTTTCCTCTATTTTATATCATACTTGTTTATTCTTACAATTTTTCTCTTTGAAAGTCAGCTTTATTCAGCAAAATCTGTACAAACGAAGTCTTTCTTATGACCCACAAGGCCCTCTCCATGTCCTGCGCAGTGCTGGGACTGTGCACACAGTAGGCGCTCAGGAAAATGATTCTTTTCTCTCTTCTTCTGCTATTTGGATCTATGAGCATGTTGAATTTCTGGCCAGTGGTTCTACCGGGCATGACGAGAAGTACATGGAAATGATGTGATGTGTGCTCAGCCATCCTTCCAATCCCTCAAGAAGTATTCATTAATTAGCATTTTACCACATGCCTGGCACTGTCCAAGCCACTGGTGGAAAGGACAACAGTGAACAAGCCCCTTCCTCAAAGAATTTAGGTGTCTTCAGTGACAGAGGCACTAACAAATCACCTTGCATTTGCCACTTATAACAGTGCACTATTAAAATAAATATAATAATCCCCCTTTTTTTTTTTGAAATGGAGTTTCGCTCTTGTTACCCAGGCTGGAGTGCAATGGCGTGATCTCGGCTCACCGCAACCTCCGCCTCCTGGGTTCAGGCAATTCTCCTGCCTCAGCCTCCCGAGTAGCTGGGATTACAGGCACGCGCCACCATGCCCAGCTAATTTTTTTTTTTTTTTGTATTTTTAGTAGAGACGGGGTTTCACCATATTGATCAGGATGGTCTCGATCTCTTGACCTCGTGATCCACCCGCCTCGGCCTCCCAAAGTGCTGGGATTACAGGCTTGAGCCACCGCGCCTGGCCAATCCCCTTGTTATATGTGGGAAGTGCAGAGTGCTGCCTCAGGGGAGATAGCCAGCCCAGATGGGCAGTGCTGGAGCGAGAGAGGGAGGATCTTCTGGACCAGGTTATCCCATTCAGGGGCTATTTGACCATCTGAAACCAGAGGAAATGCTGTGTTGTGTTTGTGTAGTGTCTGGGACGTGGAGTCGCCCAGTGCCTGTTAAATTAATACAAATTCTAAAAAAGAAAATTAGTAGGCGCCTTGCTGGTTAAGTAGACAGTGCTCTAAGACAATTCAACTTAATGAAGACCGAGTGAGCAGTAAGTGCTCACAAACCCAAAGTTTGTAGCATGGCTTTGAGAAAGTGAGAAGGAGCTCAATAACACCATAATTAAACTCTATTGGAAACAGTGGCACCAGGCAGATGAGATAATGAATTTCAGTGTCTAACATGGACCATCCACCCCGGGGGAGCCCTGTGTTTGGACTGTGAAAGGAAGAGATTGATTAGACAGTGAGGAAGGATTATATTCTAATTCACTGGGATCTCTCTTGGCAAGAGCATTTAAAAGTTTTTGTGTACTTTTTACCCCCTTAGAAAGCTACACGTAATCTTTCATTTTGTGATGAAGTGCAGAGTTCCTCTCTGAATCAGGCGAAGTCCTGACAAAACCTTGCAAGCAGTGCCTTTGAGACTCACTGGTGTGTCAACAAGAATACTGCCCTCCTGGGATCCGCGTTCATAATTTCCGAAGAACTGGACTCTGATTTGCATACAGAATGGCCCATGTCAGTCTGCCAGAGGGAGGAAGGGACCGATGTGGTACCAGCATTTTGCTGAGATGGTTGTCAATAATTATGGTTCCATGAAAGTCAAAATCAATAATGTTATGAGCCGAGTGGGTGTCCCATTAGCTAGAAGCCAGGCTTCCTTCACAGGGCAAGGGAGACATGCAACACAGGAGCCCGTTTGCAAATAATTTCCTGACGTGTTACTGACCTTCACAGAGGCAAGATAGGCTGTTTCATTGGAAACATTTTGCTTGACCCTGAAGCAGGAATAATCAGAGCATTTTCATATTGCCCTCTTAATTTTCCCATTTTTAGAGCTACCAAGTAGTTAAGAGATTGCATGTGTGTTTAGTGGCTAGAGGGGAACACTAACTGTTTGTTTAACCTTTTGTGCTGTCTGTGATCTCATCAGTTGAGGCAGGGTTAATTGAGCAGCCAGGCATAGGAGACTTGTGTAGGGACGTGTACAGAAGTTTGGGGACTGTGAAAGCAGCAATGCTGTGACCATGCTGAAATTCCAGATTTGCTGAGCCGACCATGTGACTGTGCACTGTGAGCACTTCCCAGCCATCTTTGGAGCCAGAAATCAGTGATAACTATAGACACACCTTTCCTTGTGTGTGTGTTTGTGGACACATGTGTGTGTCCCTCCATTTCTTTGGAAAGAAAAGTGTTTTAGAATGTCTTCCTTGTTTTCCCTCATTCTGTTCAGACATGAAACCCCTGTCTCTTCATTGTTCCTTTATAGATCCAGCTGTAAATAAGGGTACTGCAGCCCACCTAAGTTTCGTATTCAGTGTTTCTGGCTTGGCTCTATTGTTCTGAAATTCAGGGCCGCATCTCCCTGTGCACACAGAGCAGGAGGAAAAAGACACTTACCAATTTGAGTTCCTTTTCCCCATCATTATCTATATATCAGTTTAATTAAAATTCACCAGGTACCCACCACTTTGTGCC